TATTAGTAACAAAAAAATTAACACATTCAAAATGCCTTTTTAGTAATTTTGTATTCTAATCATACCTGAATCGTATTGTCATTCACAAATATAAGATAATCACATCGCACCCAAATCATATTTCCATTCACAATTTTAAATAATCACATCGTTTCCAAAAATCGGATCGTTCCCTCACACGAATCGCAGTCACACCCAAGACGGAGTTCCATTCGGCGCCCTTGAAAGTAAAGATCAATTATTTGCATCATTAAAAAAGTGACCATTTTTGTTCTTTGGATGTTGTCTTCAGCTTTATGGAGTTCCAGAATGATTGATTTTGACAATAAGAGAAGCTAAAACGAAAGTTGGACTAAAAACTGAAATGCAAACATCAAAAAGTTACAGCTGAAATACACAAACATCAAACCGGTTTTTGGCCAGTTAAAGCTGAATAACACAAAAGTTACATATCTTAGAATACACCAAACAAAAATGCAGCAGGTAAAATAGGAGGCTATAATAATGAAAAGTACATATAGCATCTATGACTATATTTTATATATCTTCTTTTGTTTTAATAGTCTCTGGAGCTTTCCCTGGATATATATCAATGACCAGTTGATTGGGGCTGCAACCGGAAAGAGCCAGACGCATAGAGCGCTTGATAAACCGGGCGAATTCTCATCGTCAAAATAACAGTCAGCAGAGTTCCAAGGCCACAAATACCGGCTAGAACCAAGAACGTTACCCGAAAGCATTCAGGACCAACGCAGGTCGGGTTCCCTTGCTTCTCAGCCTCCTTGTCATAGATGTATCCGGCGAGAAAGGCCGAGAAAATGGTGGCACCGATCGGGTTTCCTAGGAGTATGAAGTTGAAGTTGATCCCAAAATGCCTGAGACCAAAGAGCTCGGAGATGGTAGAGATTGACAAGAACTGAAACCCCATGCCTACCCCGATCAGAGCAGTCGCGATGTAAATGGTGTGGTCGATAGCCATGGCGAAGAGGAGGAATGTGAACACCATGAGTAGCTGTGCAGCTCCCATCCATATCGTTCTTGGAAGCGTTCTTGACCTGATGCAAAAAGGAGAACCATATAAGACTATTCTTTTCTGAGAGAGAAACAGAGAGATTGTTTTGAGTGATAGATGAGAGAGATTCTTACCTCACAAAGTGCTCAGAAATAGCACCTGAAGTGAGACGACCTATGAAGTTGAAGAAGCTGAAGATGCAAAGGAGTATCGTTGTGTCCTTAATCCCAAAAGCAAATCCAATCTGTGCCAAGTTGTTTGAGACCGTAACTCCTGAACCCATGCCTAGGAAATACGCAAACCAAAGGAGCCAGAAATCTGCCTTGACAAACACTTGGCCAAGCTTGAAATCCTCACCTCTCCTTGGTTTTCTCTTCTTCTTAACCGCACCTTCTCCTTCCGCAAGAAGTATTTCCATATCCGACGCATCATCTCCTTCAAAGAGAGACCCGAGGTTTGAAGCTGAGGTAGAAGGTGTCAGCAACGGTTCTTCCTGGGGTGACTCGCCTTCCTCTTTGACTAGATTGTCTGAAGAACCCGGTAAAGAGCTCTTGCCATTCGAACGGAAAAGTGTCATCTTCACAGGAATCGCAAGAGGCGCCAACAAAATTAACACCATAACAGCCACAAAAACATATCTAAGTATGCTCGGCAGTGAATACACCTCGCTAAGTACAGTCGTCACAACAAGATAAGCAGCAAGGAGTATACTTGTAGCGAGCAGAAAAGCGAAATACATGGGCTCAGAAGTGTCTTCACCAGTAGCCGGAATACAAGGGCGGACAAAATACATCACAGCTAAACACAACACCGGAACCCCAACAGTAAGAAACAGAAGCAGATTAGAAGCTGAATGGTGAAGCAACATACTGAACAACACAGTGTATCCTGCACCACTTATCCCAATATAGCCTTTAAGAAGTCCACTCACAGTGCCTCTGCTCATAGGAAAATTCCTCATATTGGTAACAAGAGCTGCTGTGCCAAACCATGAGCTACTATTGGTGGCGATCACTAGAGCTATAAAAAGCTGTGAAACAAAAATTAGACACAGAAATAGTAAGTCTTGTGAGCTCAATGATCAACACAACAACAAAAACTAGTTTTTTTCTGGAATCAATCACTCTCTACCACATGCAATAGCTTATAAAAACTAATCGATAACTGGTAAGCAATTCGAAGCAATTTAGGGTTTATGAATCAAACTTTACCAACTTCGTCATTGATCTCAGATTCTCAGAGTAACACCAAAAAAAAAAAACCCCCAAATCAGAAATTAAGAGAATGATTTGTTTCTTACAAGCCAGAAGGGTAAACCATGGACGATTTCGCTGACGGAGAGCCAGAGAACGCCATAGCCGAGGAAACAAGAAGAAGCTCCGATGAGAAGCATCGTCCATGGAGGAAGCTTATTACTTGCGTAACCTGAAAGCAGACCCATGTTTTCTCCCAAATCACAAGCGACTCCAAGGATCGTGACCTGTTGCTGCTTAAACCCCAATACCAATTTGAGAGCGGCGGAGTAAAGCGGAAACGTCGAAGAGGTTCCCGCCGACATCTGAACCCACGCGGCGGCTGCTAATCCAATCCACGGTGGTCGGGTTCCGGATTTCTCCGTTAGCTTCGTCATCTCCGATCTGTATCACTCTCTCTCAACTGTGCTAGCTTTTAAAGTAATGGACAGAGAAGAGAAATGAATCGCTCTGAGTTTGGTGCGTTTTCTATATAAAGTATACTTTTTTTTTGTTGGGTCATAAAGTACATATAATATCTAGATATGAGTAATGTTAAAGCATACGTTATAGTAAAATTTTATTTTTTCTACAATGTCGAGGATAAAAGCGTGACTCGCTAAAGGTTTTACATTATTTTATACTTTTATGGAACTCTAACCATGTTTAACTCCTTCACTTACTGCAGGTGGGTCTCAAGAAAATTGATAATAGTATTCACAATCTATTTCTATATTTCATCATTCCATTCCTAATATTTTTTGTTATTAAAAATAATAATAATATATATTGGTTATTTTTGTTTTCGGAAAAACATCTCTAAATCTTTAAAACATCCTATAAAGCAGTAGGATTTTGTTTGTTTTGCTTGTTTGAAAATTATTATATTATATTATATAGGTAAGCAAAACAGAATAAAGTTGTTGTTTAGTTCAGATTTTGTGCTTGGAACATGTGAGGTCATTGACCATGAATTCGTCCCGCGTGGACCGCCCGATGCATGGCTTTCCTTTTGGCATAGATCTTAACGATTCCATTTTTCGATTATTATTTTAAAACGTTGCCATTTCTATATTTTATTTTAATTTACGATGATG